CGACGTATCGTACGACGACAAAACGGCGTGTTCGTGCGCGAGGTGCGACGTAATTTCTGATGCATTCGCGAATAATGCTCGCTCGCTTCGATTCGCCGTAGTAATACGCGGGATGATATAGCCATTATCATCAACATGGCTCGGCATTTATTGTATTTGTCGTCGATGCTGCATCGTGCACCGCGTCGATAATGCAATTCTCGATGCGGAAGCAACATCTCACTACGTGATCTGCGCCTTGTTTGCGTTATACGATACTTGTCAATTGTTAATGAAAATCAAATGTTTGCGCGATACATTGCCCGATGCGTTCCACATTTATGCCGATAGAATCAAGAAAAATTTAGTTACACGATTTACGTAGACTTTACTCGTTTTAAAATACATTACTTTAATAAAAAAGTAATACAAATTACACAAATGTTGCAAAAACAAACTAATTGTAAAAGATATGTGCTCTGTTTGAAACTGAATGGGTAGATTTTTTTCCACGATTAATTGCAGAACATTCCGAGAAGCGTATTACATAATACAGCTCTTTATCACGGAGAGGAGAGATTCGCGATTTATCTGGTACAGCTACATTATCTCCGAGTTTCGGTACTAATATGGTCTCCGCAAAGCGCTTTCTTATTAGTCTATTTTATTTCATTCCATCTACAACGGCGAAGATTAAATGGATTCGCGCGGCAATTTGTGGATCGATAGATTTTAACGCACTTGGCAGACCTCGCCAAGCAGCATTGGACTGTTTCCAACCAGAGCGTTCGGGAAATGTAGTTAGCCCGGTACGTAATTGGTATTCTTGACGCAAAAATTCATTTACGAAATCACTGAGCGTAAAAGGAAAAATGGAAGATATCTCAAATAAAAAGCACGAGCATTTAATTTTGTAAGCCGCTCTAAATAAAAATCTTGATGCTTCGTTCAATTTTAATCCAGCTATCTCTCTCGCGCGCTTTTATTTACATTCAGGCGATTACTTCTGATTAAATATTTGACGCGTATCTAATTAAAAAACGTATCTAGTGAATGATCTAAGAAGAAGAGACAAATGCAATCGAGAGATTGCGATCAACGAAAATCAACTTAATTTTATAAATTCTTTATCGCAGTAGAAACATATCAAAGAGTGACAGTTAAGAGAAGAATAACACATATATAAATGTTTCTACTATATATAAATAAAACGGCTATATATAAATAAAACGATTAAAACACAAAAACTTTATCATATAAATTAATAACCTAAGAAATTCAGTTTTATTAATTTGGATCGTTAGATATATGTGTGCATATTTCTACGTTCATTTAAATGTAATATGATCTTTAGTTAACAACTTTGTAAACTGCTTTAAAGCTAAAGAGTCTTCCTTGACTTTTTAAATCTACACATTAGACGAAAGCAAGTCTTTATCATGCAAATGTAATTAAGGCCAGAATTTACTGTCGCCACTAATGCAAAAGCAAATATTTACGAACAGGTTGCGTCCGGAAAAATCCTTAGCCACAGAAGGAGTGTTCTTTTTTCTCTGTCATAATCAACGAATTTTTGTTAAAAGTTATTTATACGTCTGCTTTATTGTCTAAGTGCATTAATAAAAAATACTTTATTACATTCTCCCAATTATTTTATTACCGAACATTTTACAGACATTCTTTGTTCATTTAATACTGATTTTCATTCATTTCTTCCGTCAATCTTCTTTGTGTTATACTATTTCTCCGTCATAAGAAACTTGTAGAAATGAAATGATTCTAAATGCGACGCCTTCCACTCTCGCCACTTTTCCACTCTTTCTCTCTTCTATCATCTTTCGTTACTTACAGATTGAAGACGCGTAATACCTTGTGTACGCACACGGCTTGTGACAGGGTGCCTTGTCTACTATCTGTAATTATACCGAACTTCGTGCCGCGACTGCAGAAACCTCCTATTCCACGAGAACAAATTAAAATAAATCTCGAAGATAACGGCTGCTGGTCTGGTGGGCGAGAAAAATCTTGTTAGCCGGTGTAAAGAGAACTTTTTAAAAATATTTTGCAAATATTCTGTAAAGAGTAAATGCAGGGAAAAAATTCATACACATAAATTGTAAGCTTTAGGATATTGTAATCAGATGCTGTATTTTGTAATATTTAATCTTTTATTTTTTATATCTAGAAATTTTGTCTTACGTCTAAAAAATATATATAGTTTAAATATTTTATGTTTATAATTTATGCACACATATATAAACATACAACAAAATGTGACTAATTATGTTTCTTCCAGTATTATAACAATTAAGACTTTAGACTTTTAACACTCTAATATTGAAAAAAACTCAACGTATTTGTTAATTTAAACCTTAAAACTGAAGTTAAATCCGGCTTTTAGAATGAAGAGCGGATATATCTCGTTTTAGTTTTTGACTTATTACAGTTTCGCGCCCGCCGAGTTTGTAGCGCGAAAACGAGAAATAAAAATCCGGCTTAATGTTTCGAGCGGACTATTGGTTGCCCAGAGACAAATTTTTGCGCGATATTGGAATTCTTTTTCCTTCTTCCTCGTTCGGCTAATGCGATCTCGATAAAGAGAACAGAGGCAGCATTCGATCAAAGAGGGACGGCGTCCCTTCGTCGAGTGGGAGGATGGGGTGCGCAATCAGGAATCCTTTCACTACAACTTACAGAGATGTAGCCGACTCTCTCGCGTTGTATGCAAATCCATCTATACTTGATTATTTCGATTCATCGTCGATGGACTCGTCGCCTGATCGAGTCGATCTAACGAGGGAACGAGAAGGGAGAAATATTACCACGAGTGTTGAAGCGCTGCTTTATTGTTAATAAAAGTTCGCAAAGCAATTGCACGACCAGTAGGATTTGAATTTTTCGATTATAAGTACTATAACTGAAGAATTATTATCAGAAAACTTGCGCGCATTATATATAAATAGGCATTCAACTTATGCCTTTATAATTGCATCTCAGTATCATACTCAAGATGTTAAGATAATATTTCTTGTTTTTCACGCGGTACAATTTCACTGATCGTGAACTTGTCAAAAAATTATTTACGACTGAAATTAAAATCTTATTAAATTTGATGTTTTAATAAAATGCTATAAATTTATTATCGCAGGGTGTGATCGTTATTTATTCTTAGACATTTACGTAACATATAGCATAGACTGTACTTACATATAATGAAAATTGCAAATTGCGACTGTAGCAAGGAACTCGCTAAATCAAAGACTGATAATGATAGTAAAAATATGTTATTCAAATTCAGAGACTTTTCCATTCGTAATTGAACAAGCGCTTTAATCTAATGGGAGGATATCGTCGATGTGTCTTCTCGTTTATATCGTGTGCACGCGACATCCGATTTCGCTGGAAATAGCGTGCAACATTTCGCATGATTGTCTTTTATTGGCGGCTGTGAACCGCGGTTGCGTCTACGAGAATATCGCATGCACTCGTATCGATGTTCTCTCATTTTGTGTGTGTATGTGTTTGCCATAGGAAATTGAAAATACTCCAAATTCCGTTGATGCAGCGAAACGTGATAACGTGTCTCGTGAATGCGAGAGTGATCCGCTTTCGGTAGCGACGGGCTGCTAAAGTAACGGCAAAACGACGCAATTGCGCGCGAGACCCCATCACCCCCATACCTATTTGTATTTTTTAGTCGCGTTCCGTGATGCGCCACGTCCTTTATCGCTTCGCTCGAGCGTCTACCGTCCGAATTTGTTGTGTTTTAAATAAAAGTCAGTGCGCCTGAATAATGCGATCCGATACATTCATTGCCAAAGAAAGAATGCGCATCGATCAGCACTGCAATGCCGAAAGTAGTAAGAGTTTAGAAACGCTAGCATACACGCTACAGTATATTGCACTTCTATTAATCTGACACTCGCACAATAAGAAATAAAATTCCATGGCATAATAAAATAATAAAATAATTTATTGCTAATTTATTGTTTTAATCCTGAATTTATTACTTCTATCAATTAGCAAGAAATTAATATTAAAGATGAAAGTGTTGACTTAATAATATTATATACTAGCACTCTTATTTTCACAAAAGCCCTTAACATATCAACAAACAAAAAAAAAACAAATATCAGCAATAATTGTTAATTAATTGTTCAAAAATACTGCAAATGAATAAATGAGAAATGTTTCCTGCAATATCAAACTTCTAATCAGTAGCCTGATTAGTCAATGTTTCGCTTCTGAGGCGAAGATAGTATATAGCGTATACGCGACTATGTTACAACAGGGCGATGAATGTCATAGTTATCGGTATTGTCTATAGCAGTGTTCGCGATTCGCATAGGTTTCACACAGGCACTTGAAATGACCGTAGATATGTATTCCGCCCGATGGCAAAGGGGTCTCCTAATTGTTGCTGCAATGTTCATAGAATACGTGTACTCGGTCGGCGGCATTTGGCCTTGTGTACGTGCGCGATGTTAGCATCGTATACATTATTGCGCTATACATTCCTTGGGTCGAATATACGTGTTAATGGATCCTTGCACTCTGAATTAGGTCCATCTGCCAAATGGACGCGCGAACCAACGGCAAAGGGAGCCTCATTAACCTGATATTCGAAACACATCGGTCATGTTAACAATAACATGTGGCACTCAGCATCATTTCCGAAACTAATTGAGTTTCAAATTTCTATGAAATCATGAATGCATATCTAGAAAACATGTTAAACATACGATGACTGTACACTCGTAATAATATATTCATGCATTATTAGAGAATATAATTATCTGCGTTTCTATTAACTAGCAATATTCCTCGATTACACGAAGCTATTTCATAATATCTATAATTTCGTATTTTTATCTATAGAGAATATAATTATCTGCGTTTCTATTAACTAGCAATATTCCTCGATTACACGAAGCTATTTCATAATATCTATAATTTATCTTATCTTATCTTTATCTGTTGTTCAATCAGCATGGTTATATATTTGAAATTTTCTTATGTAGTCTGTCTTTAGCGCATGCATATTTATTTATAAATTTGAAAGTAAGATTATGTACATTATATATATATAATCTCGTAATATCCTCATTTTCTCGTTTTTTTTTCCTCCTTCTTTTTTTCAGTTTCCTCTTTTTTGCTTTCTGTCTCGTAATTCCATGAATACGCACAAATGAACATAATGGATCTTGGGATGCAATTTCGTACGTTCACAAAACCCATTTCGCTCAACTACCAGTTTTATACTGACAGTATTCGCTCCTATGCCAAAAATTTGCCCTCTCTCGCTTTCTTCGGCTTCCTCTTTTCCCTATTTTTCGTATAAATGAGCACTGTAAAATTCACGTGCACAAGTGCTCGAGAGATAAAAGAGGTCTATTTCCGCGATTATTTTGCATATTTTTGTTCAGTATTTATTTTGTAAGAGTATAGCCTTATTTTTCTTAAATCGCTTGTCATAATTCATACAGAAAGACACAGGAATCCTTCAATTTGGATTCCTTTAATATACAAAACTTGATTATGCAGATTTTATTTTTTTTGTTACGAACATTTCAAGCACTCCGTTTGGCTTAAATTGATTACGTATTTGACTGTTTATCATAATATTATACAAAAGCTTCAATCCCCGTCCTACAATAGCCAAAAAAGCACATAAAACTAAAAATGATGTTATCGCCAGGAATACAATGATATCTAAATCGAATTGTTGATACCACGCGGTATCGACTCCATTGAAATGTAAATGAGGTGCACCATTGTGACGCATTACGAATTCGATCCACCATATAGCATTCTCTAAACTATCGTAAGGCTTGTCTTTTGTGAGAGCACGTAACTTCAACATTCTATCTTTATATCTGCAAACAAAGCATTAGATGCATGATATTTAATATATGTATATAAATATTGCAGTTATTATTTTCTATTCGTAAAGAGATGACTATTATTGTACACACACGCGTATAAATAATTGACATCTTATTATCGTAATTACCGCTTATCACCAGCGACTTCCAATATAGTGTCGTGCAGTTCCGGCGTCGTAAGCTCGACTATATTCAGATATTTTGCTACTCCCAGAGAAACCATTTTCGTAACTTGATACACCTGATCGAAGACAAATGGTATTCCTATGAGCGGGACGGCGTAATGAACTGCTTCTTCGGTACTTTGTAATCCGCCTTGATAAATGAAGAGCTTGATGTTCGGATGAGCTATGAAGATAAGAAAGAAAATATGGATTAATAATCTCAATATTAATTATTATTTAACGCTAGCTTGTCCGTTTTCACTTACCAAGTACACCCTGCTGCGGGATCCATTTTGAGATAAAAACGTTAGGAGGAACATGAAAGCCATCGTCTTCGAATTTCCACAGTACTTTGTATGGTAAATCGGCAAAGGCATTGGTAAACACCTCCAGCATTCCCTTCGGCAATAATTTACTTTTTACGTTTGTTCCCAGACTCATATAAATGAAGCCATTTGTTGCATCATCCAAGAAGTCCTTTAAATTCTATAGAAGGGAAATTTTATAAAGGAATATTTTCATCATATTTTCTCAATAAAATGTGTAAGAATGATCGACAAGAAGTGGAACTTCGATACTAGTTGATAATTGTTATAAAATATATGTACTTTCGGTAACAACGGCGGTGTCTTTTTGATGTGTAATCCGCTGAAATGAATGATATTAGGTATCTCGGGTCTCGCATATGCTAGCAATGGTTCTTGATTAATCAAAATAAGACTCATGTTCTTTGCAACGTCGACGATATGCGGTATATCCTTGCCAAAGTATTTTTCGGCAATTTGTTGTTGCTTGACCACGAAAGTATTAAACCAAAAGTATATGTTGTACCAAGTTCTTCTAAAATTCATCAATCGTTTCCAAAATGAAAGATTCAACCCTGTGTAATTTTCGAGCTCCCAATTGGAAGGGTGCGATGATAGCACAGGGCTGCCGAAATTGAAACGATGGCAGTTTTGCAAGTCCATGGACATAATACCTGCGGTTATAAAACTCGTTAAGCAATTCATTATCTGCATGTATTATATATACTCGCGTATATAATCCAAGATAATTATGTAATAATTAATTTTAACCATCAATTTTATTTTACCGATTAAAGGAGCATTAAACTTGTGGGCCAGCATGTAAATTGCAGGAGTCATAATCATCTCAGTTATCACCGCGTCAAATTGCACATTCGTTCCATTCGCGTAATATTTCAATAAATCAGGATGACTGAGGACATCCTCCGCGATGTCGTGACCTAGTCTCAACAATCTCGTCTTTAATCCTCCCAATTGCGTGAGATTCCAACGAGTCTGACTCAAATCAGTATCATCGATCTTTTCATATATATAACCAAAGTCTATTTCCGTATAGTTGATTAGGCTAGAATCGTTTAGAATGTTTGGATTCAATGTTATTATCTCGTGACCCCGTTTATTCAAAGCGAGACACAGTGCCCGAAATACTATCTGATGACTGTAGGATGGGGCTGGAGTAACGATCAATAGTCTCTTACTGCATACTAAGTTGCTCATAGCAAGAATCCATAAGATCGCGATAATCGGCGAGGTACAGATAATCAATCTCATTCTATAAACAATAAAAAAAAGAACGATGTAATTATACTCATATATTTAACTCTTGGCGGCCATGTGCGATTTATGTACACAATGTAGATATAATGTGATAAAAATTTATCTTCGGTAAGATAAATATATGTCAATCATAATTTCAATTACATATATTCAATTACATATGTTCATATTTCTTATATAGTCTTCTAAAATAAAATCATATATATAATCAATATTATAGTAATTAATTTTTTTATTTGCATACAAAGTTATTTAACTTTGTATAAAAAAATATAAATTCTATTGTCTACATCATATAAAGTTTAACATTTGATTAAACCAGATTATGTATTACTTACGTGTTGATATTGAAGATATATTATAATGTTGTGATTATTCTCCGCAATAATAGTTCAATTAGTTTGAAAAAAATTAAGAAAGAATATAAGATAATTTCTTTCTTTTAAATTAGTTTTATCACATAATATAATAGCCAATATTGGATAACAGTTTATAGCATGATTTCTGTTGAAGAGACGCGCACAAACTGAATCTCACGGAATAAAATAACGTGTTATGTAGATTTCTTCGGCATGGAATATTACGCGTTAACTTATAATTTTCACAAGCATTGACTATGAACGTGATCAGGATATGTAGTGTTTAGGTATACATATATTAGGTATACATATGTACATGCAACAGGAAATTGCCATAAGAACAACTATATTGTTTATTAAACAAAATAAATAAAAACAATCTATAGCAAACTATAAGACAGCGAAATTTAATTCTTTTACCAGTATTAGTATTATCTGTTGTGTCTAAAAATACGGTAAATTAAGAGTACATATGCATTATGTTAATATAAAATATTAATACCAGTTTTCTACTTAAAACATAAAACCTGTTTATAAATTGCCGACTTTGCCTATTAACTATATCATTAATTATTAAAATATGGTTCTCTCTCATCGTAAAAGTGACGGTCATCAAAAAGCATGTAGTTCAAGAAATATTATGCAATCTTGCGCTATCTCGCATAATGCAATGCCATTTTTAAAGGATCAAGGCTATTGCTCGATGATTTTGAATCATATTTACAGATATAAATATAAATAGAAATCGTATCCGCTTTTAAAATTATTGCTAAAGTTATACTATCAAAGTAATTTAATTTATTATCACAAAAAATAATAGAAAAATATCAATTATTATGTATACACGCCACATGTATGACTAACAATAGTCGTGCTATTTTATCGTGGAATTTTTTTTTATCATATCATATAATACTTTGAAAAATCAACTTATGTCTGAAATCACTATCTATAAAATAAGAAGTACGTTGCAAGAAATTACGCAGATAATGTATACTAAATACTGGTATACTAGGTGATATAATCAATGTTGCGCACGTTTCCATGAATTCGATTAGAAATAAACACGGATTAACTGATGATTGAATTTTCCGCCTGACAATTTAAATAATCTTACGAGATATCGAGATATGTACAGGTGTATCACAATAGCAAAATCTTTGATAGAAACAGCAACTAATGTTGATGCGCATTGATTACAATAACAGAAAGACAAAAGTTGACATAACAAAAAGATCGAAAATTTCAGATTAAAACTATTTCAATTCGGCAAACAATTTTGGATATTAGCGGAATCACTCGGACTCATGTTTACGATGCGCAAATGCATAACTCCGAATATACAGTTGTGTGTGTTGTGCTGGGGATTGAAATTATGTAGATTAAGCTCGTCCACACCATGTTCGAGAGCCTAAATGAACATTAACTCTGACCGTACATATATACGGAGGAAATCGTTTATCGTTACGTACCATATTGCTGACGAGAATGTAGTTTTCTTAATTAAAAATTTGTCTAACGTGTGTGTGTATGTGTGTGTGTGTGATAAAGTTTTGTTACTTTCGTGAGATAGTGAACTTAAATAACTAATTTAAAGCATTTACGAATGCATTTAAGGATCTTTCCTTAACTCTATGGAAGAATGCTACTTTGTTAAATGATAATAATTAAAACGATATAGGCGTGAGAGATAATTAGAACCTGCTCTCGCATATATTCAGATATATTGAACTGGTTCTATTTTGCTCGCTTATATGTATAATGACATGACTGCGCGACTATAGGAATATGGATCTTATCGTCGTATCGGCCAACGGAAAACGTTCATTCTTAGTCGATGCACGCGCAACCCGGCACGCAAGCACATGTATTAAATGCGTTTCTAGTGTACGTCGAATCAAAATCAAATCAAGCTTGGTACGTGATCGGATGGCTGCAAAGCCAAAGAGAGACGACAGGATTCTCCTTCAACCGAAACGACGACTCACCTTGCAGTTCCTCAACTGTAATTCCGACTCAATAGTTGTTACGGTATTAGGAAACTACGCGCAGCTCCCTAACTCCATTAATCATTACAGCACCGAAATCGCCCCAAGATCGTTTTTGAGAAATGCGAATAGTTCTACTCGAATTATAATTTGCCTTGGATACGCTCTATCCGTTAGATTCTGATAAAGATGCGTGTTAATACAAAGATGAATTATTGCACGCATGTGCCAATATAGGCTGCATTCCGATAACTGCCAGTATTGTTGAAAACGTATAGTTTACGTCACGTACAGTATAGATTTTTAGTATTGGCGATGAATATCCGAATATAGTCTATGACTATAGAACATAGTCAAAATTACTTATTTACTGACATATGTTATACATATATAAATCAAATTTATATAAGTAAAAATTAATTTTTTTGTACATTAACAAAAAATTTTTTTTTTGTTATAAATAAGATAAAAAGGATGTAAAATATATAAATTTTATACATGAATGTCTCCATCAGACTTTGTAATCTTAAATTCTTATGTCACGAGATTACATAAGAAACAGGTCTGGAGAATAGCATAAAACAACAAAAGAGATCTAAAAATATAAATATTCTCCAACATTTCCTTCTTTCAAAAAGCAATTTATCTAAACTTGATTTAAAGCAGAATTAAATCTACAATAGGGAAATATCAGAAGATGAATTACACATAATCAATAGTAATTACATATGATTAATATTAATGATAATGAATTTTAAGTGGTAACGAAATAATGACGATTTTATGCAATTGTATATTAAATCGCATGAAAAACGGATTTGTTTGTATAAGAATAATGTTGCACGCAATACTTACATGAGTTTCTGAGCAATAACAGTAAGAATTTAGTAAAACTTTGTAGGTAGTTTATATTATAATATGTCATGTTTATATACGCGACTAACAATTCAACTTTATCATAAGAATACAGTATCGTAAATAAGTTTTAAAATATCTTCACAAACGTTCTACTATAAGCTAAAAATTATCGTAATTTAAAATAATATTACGAATATTACGTTTTTAAAAGCAATTTTACTTATTGCGAGAATTATCGCTATTATGTATTGCATCATAAACAATGCAATTTACTTCTCTTTCAATTTCATAACTCAACTTGCCACGCGTTGATATCGATAACTGGACAATATAAGTTGCAGAAATAGAATCAGACATAACACTGTAAAATATTATAAAAGTTGGATAAAGTAATAATAGCGTTAAATTCTTTAGGCAACATTATTTTCTAAATTCATAATCACATGCTTGACTTAATAATAGTTTTTCATTAAAAATGATGAAAAAATACAGTTTATTATCGTGACTCATGCGGAATTACAATAGCTCTAATCTCATATACCCACGTTTTATCATTGTACGAAATTCAAGGGTAATTTCTATAATCTACTTACCATGCATGCGTTCAGCAATGGTAGGTCGTAATGGACGACTCAACGTCCGTCCCAAATTGTTTTACAAATGAGTTGACTTAGCTCGCGATAAATCATCTCACGCCACAATTCAGTTACCATTCTCAAACACTTTGCATATATACAATAGGATTCGTTCGACGGATCATTAGTGTTTTATGACGGTAGCCGATTGATGATTGTCTAGCTCTGTTTGGGCAGACAATTACCGATTCTACGGAAGTCTACCGAGTCTTTTACGAAAGACTCGGTAGACTCTGTAGACGTAAAGGAAAGCCCGTCTCTTTCCGCTTAAATTTGGAAACCGAATTCCGTACATTCGCAACTCTCCGAGCAATCGTAATTTTGCAGGCAGCAGAAGTTTAGCCGGAGGGCTTTCGTTCGAGAGGTAGAGCTTAGAAGTCAAATATCGGGAATTTCATTTGCGCGTCGCTATGTATTATTCAATCGTACTCAAAGGAGTTTCCTCGCGAGATAAGCTGCCGTTGAACTCATCAATCACTGTTCTCGGCTGTGATAGACTATTCCAATAAGCTCAACTGTCGGGATTAGTACTTGTGAAATCGATGTATGTCATCAAAGTGAACAAAAACTTTGTTTTAGACTATAGTAAAGCACTAGCACACTCTGGCTATTGTGCTTTATGATCTATCTGTTATCAGTAATTTATGTGTATGTATGTGTTTGTCCTTTGCGTTATTTTTAATATATAACAATAAGCACGCCATAAATAATATACATATATTATTATGCATAATATTATGAGTATATATATATATATATATATATATATATTGTTAATGTATATAATAACTAACTATATTAAATTATAAATTATAAACATTTGCACATTGACAATTTGAAATTATACTAAGCACAGTACATTACATTTTAAATATTATAAATTTTCTCGCAAATTACGTTTACAAATAAGCTGCAATAAATAAAATGTTTGATTTATAATGCAAATACGAAGCATGATACTTTAATAAAATATATTAAAGTTTTCTTTCTGATAAAGTAACTTAAAAGATATTAAGTTTCCTCTTCGCGTATTTTTGGCGCTGTTGTTGTTTCACATTTATTATAAGGTGGGCAATAATCCTTGCAAAATGTAACTTCATCAATGTAAATTTGCACTTCGGTATGTGGCTCCTTAATATGCTTAAAAACAAGTTTGCCGTCCTTAACATATTGATCAAATGGAATTGTACATATTTGCTTCCATCCAAAACCTTCCGCGATCTTCGCGATATATCTGGAATGAATACATTATTTATTTTAAGCAATGGATATCAGATTCTGGATTAATATCTACGTAAATCTGCGTAAATCAATTTAATTCTATGTTTTGCGACCCGATTCGCTTAATATATCGCAGAAAAACGATACTCGATAATATCTCAGTATCGAATAACGTTCCTATACTGAAAAACGCATCAAGTTATCGTATATTACACCAGTCTTAATAAACTCGATCGTTATTCTTTGAATATGACAGGAAGCCATATATCAGCTGCTTTTCCCTTACGGGGATTTGAATTACAAGGTAACAGTTTCACTGAACATACGACGTGTGATGGATAGGGTCCGGCGATCTCTCACGTTGATGCGAGCCCGTCGCGAAAATTACTCAAGATCCGTCCGAGACGAGCGAACCGCGTCGAAACGACTGGCATTCCGTACGTGTCTATAACCCTAACCAGAATTCCACGGTCAAGTAAGTCGGACTCACCTATTGCTGCAGTCAACACGGAACAATCGATAGCCGCAATCGCGCGCGAGATACCAGCTATCTAGCACGAGCTTTCTAGCAATACCCTGGTTCCGGAAGTCCGGTCCGACCGCGAGATAGCTGCACTCGAAGATCTTGAGAACGCAGTAACGCTCCCAGAGATTTGGCTTGCGGGTCACGTAAGCCTCGAACTCGATCACGTCGCGAGTCGACCCGCATTCACAACACCTAGCCAACTCGACGAACTTGTCGGGATCCCAAGGACAGGAGCGGGCGTTCACCGCGGCGCCCACGATACAATTGTCCTCTCCCTCGGCGATTATTGTCATACCCTCACGAAGCTCGTCATACATCATCTTTAGCAACGGCGCGGGTTCCTGCTCCTCCAAACCTATGTTCACCATGACTGGATCGTCTTTGAAGAACGCGTCACACATGAAAGTCATTATTCTGTCGTAGTCCATCGGCAAAGCCAATCGTGTTTTATAAACTGGCTGATGATCCTGCAATGCACGAATGTAACAAGAATTTTTGCGTCAATAAATATAAATAAATTAAACGAACTATTAAAAACTTGAGTATGTAGCGAATCTTTTTAATGAGCAATCGGTAGAAAATGTGAGTGTAACTTGTAAAATTTATATTTACAGGTTTAGACAAATATTATTTTTGACAAATTCCATGTTAAATATTGTCGTGTCTCTGTGATATTATTACATAAAGCGTAAACTTAAGCCTAATCAAACTTACGATACATTTTTCTGTATAATTTCGTATAGCAAGACGTAAATAACGTCCTTGATTTCTAAGTATGCCAAGACACGATCCGTATTCCACGCACTTCGTGATAGGACGTGTCAGTCTTAGCAAGATCGATGTCATATTTTTGCCGTGACTTATCCTAAATAAAAATATGTATACATACCGTTATATAATCTTTTGCTAAAACATGTAATATATCTTGTCCCTGCATACATTCCGCGAATGATTTTTACACATTTTGACATAGATTGATTTTATGTTTGATATTTTACTAATATTTTTAGGTTTATTAAGATATACGTTAAATTAAGAGATACGATAACATATAAAAATAAAAACTTAATCTTACTTGGTTTTTTTAAGTATAATAATAAATAATATATATGATCTCTCGAATTTTCACGCCATTTATCTAGGAACAAATTAAAAAGATTATTTATATTTTCTATTCTTTTACATTATATTTCTCATACTTCTGTCATCTTTCTACGATAACCGCATACTTCATATCATTCAAGAATTGCAAAACAAACGCCAGTAATAATATGATTGCTAATAAATTTTTTTATTTTTATTGGTTGGATTTTTCTCAGCGAAGATAAATCGGTGACAATAAACTACCGCGGAAAGACGATCAGATCCCCGAAATCAGCCGTTCTTGGAGAATCACACGAGCGCATCGGACGTGTGACAGTCAAATAAAAAGGAAGGAAAGCAAGATACGAGGCGAACGTCCGCTTTCGCGAAGGATTGGAGATTATCAGAAGATAAATTGCATTTCTTTTCGTAGTAAAACCATCGCCATCGAGGCAAACCGTCAGATTTACTACTTTGACATAAATTATCCAGGAGCTGACGTTCGTTACTTAAGCGTCAAGCTTTCGCGAGAGAATGTTAAACTATCGGCAAAATATCGAAATAAAAAAAAAGGACTTTGAATAATTAAATAAAATTTATTGTTCATTTATTTCTAAGTTTCATGCCGAGCTGCACGGAAATTCGAGACAGCTAAAAAAAAAAAAAAAATACGTTTCGCTTCCGTCAAGAAAAATTCCGAGCGGTAAAACTTAACGTCGTCGTTTCGCAGCTTCTGGAAGACCAGGCCGGACGATAACTCAAACACGGCTCTATTCATTCATGGCCGTTGTACGAAGTGATATGGGTGGCAGCTTGCAGAGCGGCACCTGATTTATGTATTCGCGCCGCGTTCCACCGCTTCCGATATACATGCGCCTTCATATAGAGACCGTATACATAAACGGTCAGATATATATAATACAACCGTCGAGTGTGTGCATGTGTAGATACATGCATCGATGATGCGTATATGAGAGGGTGTAGCTATGCGGGAATATACGTACATACGTACATACACACATACGTTAGTGCGCACAGATACGTATTGCGAGAACGGTAGGTGCCGCGGCTTATTGTTGATGAATGCGGGGAACCCGAGCTCACTGAGCCACGAAGGGGATGCGGGCTTTATGTGTATATCGTAGTCAGACAACGGCAGGGATGGAAGGAGAGTGGAGACCGATAGGTATACGTTACCAAAGTGGAATGGCCCCGCGAGCTCCGCAAGCAAACCCGTAATGAGAACGCGGGGAGATACAACGACCCGTATATGCATCAATTATGTGCCTGATTCTCATTTCGCGGTCGAACCATACGCAAAAAATTGCAATTTATCGGCGCAACAATACGAGAGCATTATTAATATTCGATCATCGGCCGGTTGCATAAATAAAAGTAAGATTGCCGTAATGAATTGAGGGAAAGGGGAAATTAAATTTATTCAAAACAATGATACACTGAATAGAAAATATTTACGCTAGAGAGAAAAGCAGCAATAAAGCTGCAAAAAGGAAACAAAATTGTAAAATATTTAAATAATATTAAAAGAAAAAACAATATATATTTTTTGGTCAATTTATTTAACATAAATTAGTAAAAACTCAACATCACACATAAGTAAATATAAAAGCAACCGCTTTTATTTAATTTCATATTTTATAAACGCACAATGCACATATATAATATATATGATGTGAAATACAATGAAAATATGTATATTTAATAATATGAATAAATGCATTAAATGTACAGTTGAACATATACGTTTAAACATTTTTAAATTTCTTTTTCAAATCAATAGTCATCGTACAATCGTAACTCACACAAGCGCCATACACTTGTCGGGCTGTCATTGTTGAAAGCGAACTTTCAACCATTCGCTAAGCCAGTCTGCTTTATGAATCCGTCAAAGTTCCCGAAGAATCCATCGTAGCGTGACCTTGGGCTTCTTGGTCGGTTCTCGTCTTTTCAAACTTACCCCGCTCGTTGGCTTCCACCTCGACTAATCTGGAACTGTTACTATTGTCTTTCGCGTACGTGTCTTCGGCGTTGGCGTGTTTCCCGCCGTATCGATCGTCCTTCTCAAAGTGTTCGCTCTGACGTCCATTATCGTAGAAATCGGCGTCCTTCTCGAATTCATCCTTGCGATATCCGGCGACATTATGAATCTTCTCGCGACCATTTCCAGCCTAGTAAATATTTTGCTTTTTCTTTACGACTTTTTCTTTATGATTCTTCGCATGATCCTCATTTTCGAAATGACTCTTTTTCGCATCGGAAGCTTCGGTATCCTCGATCTTCTTGCTCTTCTGCTTCAAATCATTTTTTAAATCTATCTCGAGAACGACGAGACTCTCGCTACCAGGATCATTTCTTACAAGCTCGTGCTTTGACGCGGCATAATGTGCATCGTGATCTCGACCAAATTCACCAAATTTACCGGAATTCTCGTCATCGTTTATCATCAAAGCTCGTAATGTCGGGCTATCGCGAACTGACGTGTCGGTTTGCGGTTTCACGAATGCAAACTCCATGTGGGTGACTCCAGGCGGCTTCACGCCCTTATAACCGCGCGGTAGCATCTCTGCCTCGGGTTCTATGATCAAAGGTAGTAGAACCGGATTGCTCTTTGCTCTTGTAGCGATCGTTCTTGACGGGCTATTCTCCTCAAACTTCTCTACACTATCCTCGTGAATCTGGGATAATTTAGTCGCAGATACCTCTTCCTCGAAGCCATAACCGCTAGTTGATTCCGGATTGAATAATCTCGAACTGCTAATGTACATCTCGTTCGATCGATCTCTCGCCGGATGCGCGCAAACATAGAGCACAATGTAGGCAGCATACCAACCTGCTCTGAACCATTCTTTACAGATTTTCATTTGATTTGCGGATTTGCTTGTCTAAATTTATACAATTTAAATGCAAATTATATATGTATATATTTGGATAAACAGATTCGGTACTGGATAGAGGAATTGTTGACGTAATACGAATCGTAAACGCGCTGGCACACACTGTAATGACTGCAATAATACCAGCTCTTTTATATCGCGTGGCAATCACTCGGACTGAGATCACTGTCGATTTCACATGGCCTCAGCGTATCCAACGTAGCGTATAACCAATTCAAGATCATAGTGACAGTTTCAGTACTAGCTAATCAGCGATGCAAGGCAAATTCGTGGGAATAGATCGGAATTTTAGAGAGGAGAAACTTGAGAAATATATGCTAAGTATTCGTTAAAACATATAAAAAATTAATTGCTTTTTTTATCGAATGACTTGGCATTTTATTTTTTCGACTAAATCTTGATTTAAACTATCACCTGGATATTCCCCGTAATTTCGATTAATTGACAAAATATCCTTCTCCGAATCATTACGCAAATCGAGGGCTGTTGGCTAATGTCGGCGAAAGAAATACATCGTCAATGGCATGCTACGTACTTGAAGCATCGAGACGACCATAAAACGCTCGATGACGCTAAAACAATGTGTGACTTACGCGATGCAAGACAAACGTCCTTCTAACGTGTGTATATAAAGACGATAATGCGAACGAACGGATACGTCAGTGTCGAATTCAAGTACGAGACGATAATAGCGAGATTGCCATGATCGCGAGTTTAGTAATGCTGCTCGCCGGCTTGTGCGGCAATAGTGCATCACCAACGGGGACAGCACACATGATGGTCTCTAAGATGAGAATAGCCGATCTCGAGACCTCAGCCGGGGGATATGCGTACAATCAGCAAACGGGCCATCCGGTTTCGTACATGCGATACACCAATCACGGAAGCGGACGTTACTACAATGCACCGACGCCGGTACATTACGTCGCCGGTAGTTCTGCACCTGTTGCGCCCGCCGTTTCTGAAACTGCATCGTCGCACGAACCCGTTCTGCTCGCATATGCGACTGCGAAGCGCCAAATTGTACCGTACGCGTCGCGCCAGCCTTACCCTCACGGCGGATTCATTAATTATGGCACGGATCAATTAGCGAAATACGCTCAACCGCTTGAGCCGCCTAAGCCCGCTGCTCGCGCGCCGTATTACACGCCGGGCGTATTTAAATCAGACAGAACGGACGCAGACACTGTTAAAAGAAGCGATAATAAGGAGAATGAGGAGAATGAAAAAGATTATTATGACAACGATGACGAGAATAATGATGACGATAAAGAAGACGATAAAGGTCACGTGACGGAGAATCACGAGAAAGCAGTTGATTTTATAGCAACCCATCCTTTTCACGATTCCGACAACCCTCGGCCAAATATCGACGTTTCGCTTAAACTCGGCGAAAAGTATTCCGCCGCGCAGAATTTTGCTCATGGAGAAAAGGGTGACAAAGGGTACAACAAACGAATGGAATTTGACGTGGGTGAACGCGTGCAGCATGATAAAAACAGGCAACAAGGTAGATTTTTGTTTATTTTTTTTTTTAGAAACATTGAATTGTTTAATAGCTTTAGATATTTATATTTTTGCACAAATATATACATATATATATACTGTCGAGCGAGATGTTACTTTTTGCTGGATCTTTCAGAACATTATGATATTGAAAGTGAGAACAAAAAAGGGTACAGCGACACGGCCGGAAATTATGGACGCTACGATGAAACTGAGAATGGCGAGAAGGGTAGCAGCTATGGGCAAACATCGTACCACAAAAAGGGCCAAAAAACCAGCGGCTTTCATAAAGTTTACCACAAGGATGAATATAAAAAGCATACCGATTTCTATGACGAAAGCCACAAGAAAGGTTATTTCGACAAGCACGTTGCTACTGACGAACATCATAATGCTAACGAGGGTAATTTCAAGAAAGGTGGACATCATGAATCCAAGTTTGATCATCAAACTAGTGGAAAGAAAGCATTTCGTGATAAAGAGCATATACAAAATCGCGATCAGGGTTATAATAAGGAAAAAGGCGAAAATTCTTATCATAATAATTATGAGGATTATGGCTCCGATGCAGGCACAGGTTTGATTAGGCAGCATAAATATGAAGAAGCTAGTTAACACTATTAATTAATATCGCAGACTATTTAATGCTAATGTAATTTATCTTTTGTTTTATATATCGATTATAGACATAATAAAATGAAAAAAAAATTATAAACGAATATTTTGATGAAATAAATTTTCGGTCCATTATAAACAAGTATTGGCAGTGTCGATTGAATAATGCTTATAACAAAATTATATTTTATAATTAAAAACAAACATTGCAAATATAATTATAAAATAAATTTTGAGAATAAATGTAGTTAATAAATTTATAGTATTAATTGAAAATATAAAATGTTTTTTGCATAATAAAGTTATAAATTTGTAATTAAAATCAATTTGATTTAAATTGGATTGTTCATATTAAAGATAGATAATTTTCAAAGGAATAAATAAAACAAATACAAAACTGTGTCAATTACATCACCGAATGCGATAACTGCCCGATATTACGGTTTTATGGAAATGGTATGTAACGAGAGGCCATATTTTCTTGTGACAGCTGCTACACCGCAGAAGCGTGACTGATATAGCGCAAAACATAAAACTTCACTAAATTATTACGACAGTTACCGATTTCGCGACACGCGTTACGGTCGCGCTGTGCAAATAATTCAAATTTCATTTTACATCTAATATACATTTATAGTGTTGTAAGAGTCTGATTAATGCAAGCTATTGTGTATTCATGAAAACATATAGCAGCGTAAGAAAAATGATGAGTTAATAAATGCACGTGATATTTTGCAGTTAATTGACATAACGTCACGATATAGTATGAGAAAATGTATAAATAAAGTGTAATAAATCTGTTGGAAAAATTTATTTTGCTCGTCGAAACGTACAACAATTAATGCAGCGTGACAAATGCAACTCAACAAGCAATAGGAGCAGAATGATGATTTTCATATTAATATCAATGTCCCTTTTTAAATCCCCAATGCTTGTGATCTTCATGGCCGCCCTTCTTGCCATGATGGGAATGATGATGATGATGCTCCTCGTGATCGCCATGGCCTTTATGACCTTTATGATCGTGATGATGGTGTCCTTTTTCATGATGACCTTTCTTGCCATAATGGTCCTCGTGATGATGATGATCATGGTGTCCTTTCTTAAAGTGACCGCCCTTCTTATGCCCGTGTTCATGATGATGGCCACCGTGTTCTTCATGATGACCATGATCATGATGTTCGTCGAAGAATTTCTTATCTTTCTTAAATTCGTCGAGTTTGTGGACTTCGTGATGTCCCTTAGTGCTGTGGCCCTTGCCATAATGTCCTTTCTCATGGAATTTATGACCCTTCTCACCTTTCTCGCCCTTGTGGTGTTCGCCGTGGTAGCCGTCATCGTGATGATGATGCTTCTTATGGCCTTCATCTTTGTGATAATGTCCAGAATGGTCCTCTTTGTCGTGGTGTCCCTTTTCTCCTTTTTCGTGATGATGTTCCGACTTGTATCCTTTATCGCCTTTTCCACCGTGTTTGTGATGATGATCGGAATGATGTTCTTCTCCATGCCCGCTCTCATGATGGTGAGAAGCGGCTATCTGCAGGTCGTCGTAATGGGCTCTCGGGATCTCACGTGCGGTGGTCACACAATGAGAGGCGATGCACGTTGCCAGCAGGCAAATCGCCGCCAATCTGCTCATCGTGCCGTATTTATCCTCGTTTAATCCAATATCAACGAGAGGTGTTTAACTTCGTCGCTGTAATCGGTAGGTATGATTAAATCGCTCGCCTCGCTCGGATTATATATCGATCGCAGGATAATCAATATGAGGGTAGGCTCTTTCGTGGCTCATTACGTCGTTGCGAAAGCAACGTTTCCTTAACCTGTTTAAATTGTAATGCGGATTTCAGTGAACCCGCGACTATCGCTTGGACCGTTATGTAATATAATTGAAATCGTTGTGTCCTGCTTACCAAACTACGTTTATGCAGCCTAAATAACGCGTTTTTATTGTCTCACCGTGCCGAACCGCAATACACTGATTTTCAACAGCTTTAATTTATTCCTATAACTGACGGAAATTTATACAATTAATATATTTTCCGCAAAGAGATAAATATACAAGAATATAATATATAATATAAACATTATCATTGAATGTCAGAGAACAGTGCTGTAAAAAAAAGAACGCTTTGATTGACAGAGCAGATAAACTTATAATCAGCAATAAAAATCGGTAAATCGTCTTGATTTATATTGTGCATTTTATTTTGTCCATTGTTAACCGCTAAATTGATTTATCTGCTGATAAATTCTGAATTAATATATTAATATATTATTTTATCTACAGATTGTGCTCCATTAAAATCTTACTATACATTTATAACAAAATATTATACAAAACATTACATTTTCTTCTAAATATGTATATGTATCTTACATACATATACATTGCAATTTGATATACATTACAATTTTATTAATATTATTTATTATGCACAATTTTTTTATAAAGTTTTAATATATGCTTTATATATACCTACACATAATTACACATATTTCATATCTTCTTTACATATATTACATTCTTTTTTTCTCTTGTGTCTTTTATTAATAGTAAGAGCATGAACAGTAATATCGTTTCGCTCTCTTAAGTAATTCAAGATTGACAACAATTCTCTACACACATACACACACAACTAACAGCGCATTTAAGCAACAGTATACAGTATAGATCAAATGTTTTACGAAATACGAGTCCAGTATTGTGAGAGAGATTAAACAAAAGCTAAAGAACGAAAGCGATTACGTGTAAAGCGTTGGTGGAACCACAGGTATATAAGCTTTGCTTTAAAGATTGTTGATCAGTCCATTGTACTCGTTGGTCCTACAAGAGAACCAACATGGCTAAATACATAGGCCCATGCTTGCTCCTGGTAATGGCTGTGATATGCACGGTCATTACCGTATCTTCGGCGCGAGATGTCCGAAATATAAAAGATTTAGAAGTATCCGGTTCTCACCATCATGGTCATCATCACGAGCATGGCGGAGGTCATGAACATCATTCTCATCATCATGGAGAACATGGTGAAAAAGGTCATAAGGGCCATAAAGGTCATCATCATCACGAAAAGGGAGAACACGGTCATCATGGCAAAGAACATCATGAAGGTCATCATCACGAGCATGGCGGGCATAAGAAGGGTCATCACGATGAACATGATGAGCACGGCAGTCATCACGAACACGAACACGGCCATAAAGAGTCGAAATTTGGCCATGGAAAAGGCCATAAGAAGGGCGAGAAAACTCACGGTTATCATCATAAATCACACAAAGATGAATTCCATAAAGAACACAAATTCTATGATGATTACCACAAAGGTGGTCACCATGAGAAGCATGGCGATCATCACGAGCATCATGGTGGGAAGGAAGGCCATCATAAGAAGGGTGGACATCATCATTCGGGCCATCATGAAGATCATCATGGTAAGAAAGGTCACCATGATAAAGGACATTTCGATGAGGATCATCATGGCCACCATGGCAAACATGGTCACGAAGAACACCATCATCATCATGATGATTATGGAAAGAAGAGCGAGCATCATGGTGGTAAAAAGCATGGTTTCTCGAGCGGTCATCACGGTCATCACCATTAATCATGCAAAGCTTACCAATTTAATGCAACATGAACAGAATAAACTTTTATATCGTTTGTTCCTTGTTTTTTCGTTAATTTTTAGGATACCGAATGATATAAATTTATCTCGTTATTAAAAAATTAAAATGTCTACAACAACATGATTAATCGTATTATTTTCTCTAATAATTCCCATATACGCCCATAACAAAAAATAGTTTTATGTGACACTTACATTGACATAATCTATGTTACAACTTCTTATTTTAAAACATGTAATATTTTCGTCATGTATGTGTGATAAAGATATATCTTTTTTAGTACAGAATACTTTGTTAGTTTAATATCTTTCAGTTTAGTTATATGTATTTATGAAATAAAATCTAAATTTGAACAATGAAGGAAGAAGGATATCTTAATTGAATATTGAAATGCTAAATTTTCTCTTATCTTTATTAAAACTTAAAGTTTATAAAATCGTTAAAAAATTTATAGAAATGTATAAAATATATGATGTATAAAATTGTATGCCGCTGGGGACAGTTAATAATCTGAATGTATTTGAATCAGATTATAAAAATGAAAACCTTTATAACTGTCTATTGTAATAAAAGTATTTATTTTAATCTTTTTACATTTAATTTTAATTTATATATTAAAAAACAATATTGATGCCGTATAACTTTTTATTATAAATTAATTCAATCTATCGAAAATTGATAGAGAAAATGCAATCACATACAGTATTGCGTAATATGTTTATATAATTTTAAACAATTAGTGAATTACATGATAGAATCGATAGATATATTAGAATCTCTCTAATATATCTGAGCAAATATTTATATTGTATAAGATTCAAAAAGCTTGTATTTATAATTTGCTAAATGTTTCTAATGTCATATAAAAACTCTCTCTGTAAAGATTATTAATGCAGTAAAAACATTTAACATTTTATTAATTATAATGTATGTGATATACAGCTTATATTGTCTGACGATATTTTTACATATAAAATTAAATCAATAATTAGCAAATTGTCAAAGATCTACAGTTTCCTCACAAGTTAAATCGATAATGCAAATTATGAGTATCGTAATTATTTACCAACATACCTGAAATCTTTACTGTTAATAAAAATTCCTATATTCCAGCTATTTATCAAATTCCGATAATAAGCAGCATTAAATTTGCCGTTGGGTACAACGCGAGTTATCGAGTAGTGGTAAATAAAGCGTATCATGATATTACGTATTATATATTTCATTCAATGAATTCTTCCGAAAATACACTATAGCTCACTATTTTATAAATGTAAGTTGATTAAAGAGAAATCTCCTACAATAGCAATAATCATATATATATGCAAATCATGCAGGATATATAAAACAATATACTTTAATATTTTCAATTAAAATTTGTCATTTATTAGTGCTCTCAATCTGCTTTAAAAGATTGCGATACTGGACTGTGACTGCTGTTTATCTTATATATATATATATGTATATGTATACGCTCGCGATATATTATAAAAACAAAGCCGAAACGAAAGCACACAGGATCTACTATCGTATTGACCCTGTCGCTGATTTGATTAACGATCTCACGCTGTAGCGAATGAGCTCGTCATTTCCATGGCGTCCATCCGAATTGAATTCCGGCATCCCGGACGCGGATTAACGGGTCTTTATGCACTTCTTTACTGCCACGTACGATGCAGCGGGTGTTCAGGATCGTGCAAGGCTATTCGCCGCCGGAGATTGCATGCACGCGGCAACGAACCTACTTGAAATGCTCTGCCATGTGACAATTCCGGCAGCCGACGAAAGGGTCCACCATTGTTTCGGCTCGTAATGCATGTGTGGGTAGTTTAATTAATGTAATTGAAGTAGCTGTGGCACGATAAAAAAAAAAGAAACACGAAACGCGCGTAAGAAGTACGCACGACCGCGTTGTTCTGTGATTCTGCGTTCTTTCATGGAAGCAGAATAATTATCCTATTCGACCAAATTAATGAGAGGTTCAGAAACACGTGACATTTGCATTGCACTTCCGCGAATTTCCAGACTAGAGGCGAAATAAAGGAATTTTTTTCACATTGTCTTTCGCTTTTTGCGAAACAAAATATACTCGAGTCATTTACGTTGCATTTCTTTAAATAATTATATGTCAAGTATAGCATATATAATAAAGATAAGTTATTTCTTACGGAAAAGTATAAATATGATTAAAAATACAAGAGTTTTTTAATATATTATTGCCGAAAACTAGTTAAATGAGTTCCGCCCTGAATTCGAGGTACCTTTAATAAAATTTTCACGAAGCCGAAGCAACCTCTCGAATAATAAATGATTTGCGCGCTACAGTCGTATAATGAAAATTGCATTATGCGACCGCGCAAGAAATCCTTTGACAACATAAGCTGCTAGATTAAATATTTGGATTAAGCTTATCTTGTTGCCGTATTTATTGCATCTTGCTAAAAACCAAGATATAATCAAGTTTGTTCATAATCAAAGCTTTACGCCATCAACAGCACGTGTATAAGTGAGTGTTCTTAATCCATTTACGTGAAACATCAGCAGACGCAGATGGAAACAGATTGAAAAATGTGATTTGCCTGTATTTGTTAATTTTAAACAATTCTATTTTACTTTTTTTAAAGACACCTTTATGTAGTAAAAATACTAATCATGTATACTTATATCAAAATTCAGTACTTTTAATATTTATAAATATAATTAACTGTTTATAAATTATATGTACAAAGATATATTTGCACAATTTCGAAAGTCTACGTTGATTAATCGACAAATAATGAGTGCTAATTATGTATGCACATTGCAAGAGACGATTACGCGATACATTGAAGCGATATGTATGTTTTCGACGGCTTGCACTGACTGGTTAAATTATCATAATGCGGCAATATAATGGAAATAAAGATTACGACAAGGATTGAGAGAGAAATTAACTAAATAAATCTTAAAGAATTACTTGTATAAAAACGTCAACATTTATTCTTTAGAAAAACAATTGACTCTAAAATAGTATGTGTCAATCTGAAAAAAAAGTTAATGATATTGGAAAAGCGCAAAATGGAATATATTATTTTTGAATATTGTTATAAGTTGCATATACATATAATATATATATAGTATAATCTTTATTTTTCAAATATTTTTCAAATATTAATTAAAATTATTCAAATATTTTTCAAATATTAATTATATCGTA